CTCCTGCTCCCAAGCGGCAAAGAAGCCCAACTCAACAGGCAAAAGAAGAAAAAAAAGAAAGAAAGAAAAGATTTATTTTCAACACAGGAGAGGAGGTATGCCGTATTTCCCCTGCCCAGGCCGAGAGAGCCCGGGACTATAGTAACAGGGTCAAAGATCTGAAGTTCCTGCTCTCAATCAAACAGTTTGCTGACCTAGACATTGAGGAGCCTAAAAACTTCCCAAATGCCCAGAGGGTCCTGACAGTTATTAGGTCAGGACCTGCGGCCAATCAGACTTGGGCGATGGTGGAGGAAGCCGTAAATGCATGTAAGATGGCTTTGCCCATCGCCATAGTCGAAAACGATAAATTAAAAAAATTACAACAGTTCTGTGCAGGGACGGTCCCCGTTTTAGTTCACCCATCCCTGTATAGAGCACTTAAATTGACCTTCCCCTGGGATATCGGCGGTATCTCCCAAGACGGCACCATCAAGAATGAGATGGGCCATGGGTCTATGGGAGACGCGGTCGGTATCCTTACCCCGGCCATGTTTAATGCTGGTAAGCAACCCCTAATCGGACTTCTCATGTCTCTCTGGTTAGCTACGTTAAATGTGCGGGGCCTGAGGTCCGAGTCTCGCAGGGGCGAGGCTCTCTCGTGACCTTCAGCGCCTCGGGGTGAATGTTTGTTGTGTGCAAGAGACCCATTTTTCTTCTCATGACCGTGAGGATATACTGTCTAAGGGGTTCGCCCTTTTTTTCAGCATGTTTTGATGGTCGTTCGAGGGGTGTCTCTTGGCTAGTGAGCAAGTCTTTGGAGGCTGCATGTTCCCTTGTCTTCGCAGATCCGGCGGGCAGGCTTTGCGTGCTGGATGTTACTATAAAGGATAAGGCTTTACGTCTCATTGGGGTTTATGCGCCCAATGTTCATGCTGAGCGGCCTGCTTTGTTTCGGCAGATCGAGCCGTTTTGACGACTTCTCGTCGGGTAGTCTTAGCGGGGATTGGAATGCCGTCCTTGACCCCGATATAGATCGTATAGGTAAAAAACCGGGTACTAACAATCCTGATGTGAAGGCATTTCGGGACTTTATCGACAGGTTTGATCTTGTCGATAAGTACCGGAATGAGCACCCTCAGGAGGTAGCATGGACTTGGACAACTAGTGGCAACTCGGCCAGTGGCTCGCTTGCGAGCTACCTGGACCGAGTGTTAGTTAGGAGAGTCGACGTAGGGCTCTTAGAGTGTCCAAGTTTCCATTATATAGTTTACACGGATCATAGGCTTGTCCGGGTCCGTGTAAACTTAGATAAACCTAAGGTTAGATTGGCTGGTTACTGGAAATTTAACTGTTCACTTTTCGGTGAACAGGATTTCCGGGACCAGCTGCTACTAATGATTCAGAGGGAATTGACGGGGCGGTTGTGGGTAACGCCTGGTGGGGAAAATTAAAATCAAAAATTAGAACGTTTGCTGCCGATTTTAGTCGTCGACTCAATCTAGATAGACTAGCGGCGCAAACGGCATTAGAAGATAAAGTTGATCGGGCCGTCAAATCCCGTGTTAGTGGGGACATAGTCTTAGCTAAGGCAGAGTTGGCCTCCTTGCTTATCAAGAAGGATCAAGCTCTGGTAGTTAGGGCTAGGCTAAAGAGAATGTCTTCTGAGGCGACGAATATGGCCGCAGAATTGCGTGCAGAGGAAAATCGGAACGCGGCTAAGCGACATATAGCGTGCGTCACATTGCCGGATAAGCGGACCGTGACTACAAGCGCGGGCATATGCGAGGCCTTTCGGCTTTATTTTCAGGATCTTTTCACCAGGGAGCCCGGTCTGAGCTCTGCTCAGTTCGATGCCTATTTGGCTGACTTTCCCTGCCTTGAGGCAGCTGAAGCGGCTAGGTGCGAGGGTCCTTGAGGCTGTCGCCCGTTTTTGTTCCTTTGCTGCAGCTGATTTACAACCACTGGATGAGGCAGGGGTCTTTACCTCGACGCTTCACCAGGGGTGTGATCAAGTTGTTGCGTAAGGACAAGAACGGTGGGGATGGGTTAGGGAACTTTCGCCCTTTGACGATGTTAAATACTGACTTAAAGAGTTTGGCGAAGATCTTAGCCAACCGTTTGCAGCTTGTCCTGTCTCGTCTGATTGGCCCCGAACAGACTTGTGCTGTGAAGGGCAGGACGATTCAGGATAACCTTCATATGGTACGCTTGATCTTAGAACAAGTCGACAGTGAAGCCGCGCTGATCAATTTAGATCAGTCCAAGGCCTTCGATAGGGTTGACCATCGGTTTTTGGAGGCTGTCCTGTCGGCGGCCGGTTTCGGAGCCGACTTTCGCTCCTGGATCCGGCTCTTTGTATGCGACCCCGGTGCGCTGGTGGAAGTGAATGGGGTAAGGTCGGAGCCTTTCGTATTGTCTCGCTCCATTCGTCAAGGTTGTCCGCTATCGCCCTTGCTTTACGTTCTTGCGTTGGAACCATTCCTTCGCAAGTTAAAGGCGAATCCGGTCCTGCGCGGAATTACCCTGCCTGGCGCTACCACCTCGGCCAGGTATTCTGCCTATGCTGACGACGTTTCGGCTCTTGTGTCGAGCAGAGCCGAGATTGACGAAGTCAGCAAAGAAATAAGTGGGTATGAGATGGTGACAGGGGCCAGGATCAACCGTGATAAGTCTGTGGGCTTGCGGTTGGGTGCGTGGAAGGGAGTTTCTCTTCCCGGACCTTTCCTCTGGACGGATGGGCCGATCAAGATACTCGGCGTCTGGTTCGGTCCTGATCTCCAGTTGGAAGTGAACTGGTCGGAGGTACAAGGGAAGGCCGAGATCGCGGTTAATCTGTGGTCTCGGAGGAGACTTTCCCTGAAGGGAAGGGCGGAAGTATGTGTTTTCACATCTATCCGATCCTCCTCTACCGACTCTCTGTGCTTCCACTCCCGTATGCCCGACTAATGCAATTAGTCAGGACCTTGTTCTCTTTCTTGTGGAGAGGCAAGGCCCCTATGGTATCTCGCGAGGTCTGTTGCCTCCATCCCTCTGAGGGCGGTCTGGGGATGCCTAGCATTGAGATCCGTCAATATATGCTTCGCATTACTTTTTAGACCGAATGTGTCGTGGGTCGAATGAGGAGGGTGCCTTTTGGAAAGAAGACGTCCAGAAACATTTTCCATCCCTGAAAAGTGTGCACTCGTGCGAACAAGAGGCCGGCCGTTTACCACGTGCCGAGTGCTCTTTTATCGTGAATGTCGTCGCGCTCTGAAGCTCCTCTTACGGGTTTCGGATGGTCTCTCCAACGCCCAGGCGTTGTCTCGCAAGGCATTATATCAAGTTTTAGTTAGGGGTCCGTTCAAGATGATCTGATTGGCGAGCTCGGTCTTACGAAGCGGGAGGCTCGCTCGATATGGCCTTGGGCGCCCGGGTTGAAATGTCTCAATAACGATGAGGCATCACTCACCTGGCTGGTGATTCGTAAAGCCCTCTGGGTCAGCAAGAGACTTTGTTCAGCAGGCTTGGAGAAAAGTCCAAACTGTCGTCGCTGTACGGGGGAAGTCGAGACTATTGGTCACGCCTTCTTTCAGTGCAGGGTGGTAGTGCCGTTGTGCAAGTTTCTTGAGGGCCTCATGGTTCGCATGCTGCATGGAAAGGTTTTTGTCCTGGATGCCAGAGCTGTTTGTAGCAATGTGGTGCCGCAGATGACGAAGGCTGAACACTATGTGTTCTGTTGCTTACTAGGGGTTATGAGAGTCGTGATTTGGACGACGCGTCAGAAGGGATTCCATGAGGGCGAAGTTCACTTCTTCCCAACTGATCTTGTTCTTTAAGCATCAGCTTAAAGTCAAGATCAGGACGGAAAACGGCGGCTCACCTCATCGGAATTCAGCAAAAGGTGGGTGATTCTTGCGCGAATGTGCCGAGTAAAAGGGGCTGACCTTGAGTGGCATTTGGATGCCGGTTAGGCATTAAGGATATTGTTTTCCTGGGTTGAACATAGGCAACCCATCCCGGAGTTAGGTTAGATTAGGTTTTTGTATTTTTTCTTTTAGTTTTTCTATTCGGGTAAACTTAGCTAAGGTGTATTTGCTCATTGGTCCCCTTTTATTTCTGTTTTTTTTTTTTCTTCCTTTAGTTTAACTCCCCATCCCTCCCTCGTTTTTTAGGTGGTCAGTAATGTCAGTTCTCTGGTAGATGTGGGGCGCCTTTCGTTTCGTGTGTGTTTTTTCGTACTTGTTGTTGTGTATAAATGAGTGTGTGCCTGTGTGAGTGCTTGGGATGAATGAGTGTGGCTTTATTTTCATAAGTCCCGCATCGATTTCGTCCAGTTAACTGATATTTCTGCCACATTCAAGAGTTTGTGGGGGTTTTATTACTAACACTAATTTTATTTGGTTTCTTGTAAATATATTTTGTCATTTTGTATATATTCATTGGGGTTCATTTTTTAAAAGTTGTTTTTTTTATGCCCCTCCCCCACAGACAAATATTTTGTACATAAGGGGATTATTTAGGTTTTTTTCATGGAGTCAGAGAGGCATTTTGGTGTTTGTAGTAAGAAAGGTATGGATAAATGTGTTGTTTTGGTGAAAGGAATATTGTTCTGTATGATAGGGTCAGTGATTGTGGCTAGCTAAGTTTAATCTAAGACTAGTGATGACCGTCCTTCACCCCAATCCCCTTTTCGGCCTTGTGCCACATTTGTACATATGTGCAATAAATAATAAGATTAAGAGATCGAATCCAGAGACTCTGCCCGACTGCGACTTAGTCAACCCATTCTGCAGGAACAGTCTTCCCAAGAATATACCAAAACTACCTGTAAATATTGTGTACCTTTTTTCATTGTTTCAATACATTTTGTTACGTACATTTTGTGTTGTATTATTATTATTCCATGCTTATTCAAGCTTCAACACTTTCTCATCGGTATTTATGCGTAAGTGACTATATTAAAAAGAACTGAAATTAGTACTCCAATCAACGTTTAACAATTCCAAGCCATTATCTATTACATCCTCCGAACAGCCAAGCTTACAGCATCTTATATTCCGTAGGGGTCACTCATCTTGGTACTGCGCAGTCCCAACATTGCTTAACTTAGTTGATCGAACGGGAGCCGGTGTTTCAAAGTGTGTACTTGGATTACACTCGGTAATACGAAAAATAAAACTAGACGAGATATCTCTAGATATGGACAATGAAACGTGAACTGACTACCCACCCCTGCATATTAATTAAAGGGATCCGTTCGGAATTTCCTGTAGGTTACACAGATCAGTATGCACCTGATGAGGCCTGGGAAGCACAAAGACTGAAGTGTTGTGGTAACAACAGCAAAGATGAGGACAATAAACCAAATATACATAATGATAACTAATCTTCCCAGTCCGAATTCCATTACATTTACTTACGTGCTAATAACCTTGGGAAAGGAAGGAATCCTCTTCAGCTATAGGTAAACAGCTGAACAGACCGTGTTCTATAGACTTGGATAGCAAATGGTTTACCTCAGAAAGAAATGGCAACCTACTATGGGAAATATCTGCCACGTCAGTCATGTATCAAAAGCGTGTATCCTAAGCGTGTATCAGACATGGCACATAACTGATTGAATCATTCCAGAAATTCATATAGACAAGAACAATTGAATTAGAACTTAATACTCAACGGCAGTGGATATTTCATAATGAAAATAAATAAATATTCTCTGTGAGACAAGAAGTAGGCAAATGTGTGATTTCATTAAATCTAAGATGGATCATTAATAGGAAAAGAGAAAAAAAATGGGGAACATATTGAACAAATCATCCATCACGGAGGAATTTATCTGCAGTTCCTGTAATTAGCCTTCCGAATTCCGATGTTTGGTAACATTTATCTATTTCGGCCACGAGAAAAGAGCATTTAAACTATTTTGTTTATTTTCACTAAATTATTTTTATTTATACGTTGGACGTAAATTTTTATTTTCCTTTTTCATTTTTGGTTTTGCGGGTCTTTTAAAGAATAATGTCTCGGAAAGAGACAGCTGAAGGCAGAGTTTGATATACAGTCGGGATTGTTACATTCCTTTACGGGTAAATACCCTTAGAAAGATTGTGAAACCACTTCCTCATTCTACCTATTGACTAAATACTAGGAATTGTATTTGGAAATGGTATTGCTATTATAAAATAATTGTTAATGTAATAATCACCACCCGCCTGCAAAAAATTACTATTCTAAAATATATTTCGACTATAAATAACATATGAAATATTGAAGTGCTATAAAAACAAATAAACAATTAAAACCTTTCATTTTCACATATATTCCTGTTACAATTCCTTGTCTTTGTATCTTAAAAAGCCCTGCCATAATTTAAATTTAAATACGCTGTAATTGTGTAAATTTAGTAGGGAGTACGATTTTACTTATACATTTGCTTTTGTGCCAGTACTGACATATACCGAGGAATTAAGGTTTCTCATTCTTTTCTCTCCGTTTCTAAGAAATATCCATATATTTCTTACGCTAGATCCAGTCCAAATATTAATGGTGTTTTGTCACGTACTTTTTGTCTACGTTTCTCTTTTCATAATTTTTAAAGTCCTTTTCTTTTTATGTGCCATCTCCTATCAGAATGTAGGCGACCTCCACCTCCCTCTAACTCTTGCAACTCTCAGCAAGCTTTTTCCCCAATTTAAAGTCACTTTACGTTTCTTCCTTATTTCATAGATCTAACCACAATCAACCCTGGCTTTCGCTTTACTCAACAACGGCAAAATGAATTACCTTAAATTCGCATAAAACAACAAATTAATGGCATACGAGAAGAACAAGACAGCCTAGGTCGTTAACACATAAACAACTGCGGTGATATAAACATTATATATATATTCAATTGCCATTTCATGTAACGATTTATGTCCACAATACGCATGTAAAATTGAAAGTATATATTTTTGTCATATATATATATATATATATATATATATATATATATATATATATATATATATATATATAGATAGATATGTGTTTATGTATATATATGCATATATATATATATATATATATATGTATATATAATGACAAAAAGCACTTTGTAACTTTATACATATAGATAGATATATGTGTATGTATATATGTATATATATATATATATATATATATATATATATATATATATATATATATGTATATATATATATATATATATATATATATATATATATATATATATATATATATATATATATATATATATATATATATATATATATATATATATATATATATATATGTATGTATATATATATATATATATATATATATATATATATATATATATATATATATATACATAGCACATTGTGTCTGCTATATATGAGTAAAAGTCGAAAATTATCCTCACTCTTGTCTAAATATTTGTTATAACACAAGGAGCGGATAATTGTTGACTTCCTCTTGTGTGTATACATATTCGCACATACACATGCATGCACACAGACGCACATACACATGCACGCACACAAACACACATACACACACAAACACACGGTGTGGGAGGGATAAATGTGTGACCAGAACTCGAATTGCAGTGGAGTTCATTGAATTTAACTATTCGCAAAATCTTTTGTGAAATGCATGAATTTCTGGTTGTATTGAAAGATCATCATCGTCCAAATTCACTGGTAAGTTAGCATAAATATATTGCCGTTTACATTGAAACAAAACGTAGTATTTACTTGTAATATCATTTGTTTAAACATGAAGAAAGAAACAATTTTAAAAAAGATTAATTTATTTGATAGAAATCTATAGGTTTAGGTCCAGAAACATTTGTTATAGCATATTTCTTGCACCTTTGTTAAACAATGTTTTCGGCTGGTATTTCCCATTACGACTAATTAGTCAAACTCAGCCGGAAAAAATGATTCATGGAATAATCTAAATAAGTCAAATAATCCGTTTAATTAGATTTCCTTAAAAATTTACACAATTATTTAAACAAGTTAAAGTATTGTTCGTTTGCTTAATTATTATTATTATTATTATTATTATTATTATCATCATCATTATTATTATTATTATTATTATTTAATAATAATAATAATAACAACAACAATTTATAAAATATTAGAATAAATAAATAAAATAATTGCGTCTGCTGAATTATTTTGAATTTGTTAATAAAACATTACAAATTTATTTCAATAGATTGAATTTCAATTTTATTTTAATTGGATTGGATATAAAATAATGAAAATAAATTAAAATAAAAATTGTTCGTGTTTAACTGAAAAAACAAATAAGCGAATATAATATGATTGCGTTTTTTATCATAATTAATAAAATCACTGCAATATTCTTACAATACGGAGGCATTTTCTGTTGTTCAATATTTTTATTTTATTTTAATAATAAACAAACATTAAATAGACAAGATTTCAATTTCATTTTCATTATATTGTAAAAAATTAAATAACATTTTCGTAACTTTTCGAAGAAAAACCTTTAATGACATATATTTAAAATGGGTCCACGCAAAATGTGTTGCCATGAATGTGAGCTTGATTTTCTCCTTCAAAATTTTGATGCGGCTAATTGCCATTGAAATGAGCTGATATATATTATTAAATATCTCAAAAGTATAGACATTTACGATTTTCCTGTTTCCTGAAACAATCAAAAGAAAAAAATATTACCTATCTTAAAAATCACTGATGTCACCAATTGGACAGGATTGCAATTCCAAATAAAAAATCTTTCAAACAAGCCTTTCAACATACAAGTCAAAATTGTTCAATATTTGATACCTACCACAAGCGAAACAATCATGATACTGCTATGTTAGTATTCCTAGAAAATTCAAGTGAAATTATCACAATAAGAAAATAAATATTACGTAATTGATGTTTACTGAAACTATTTATACAGAATGTTTTGTAGATGTATCAGAATGTCAAAGACGATTTACTTTCCTTTCTCATAAGACGGCTATTTGGTCAGTGAGAAGAAATAAACAGAAGATAGTTTTGTGTCAAAATACGTAACACGATGTAGAGGTTTGACTGCCTTAATAGAGAGTTGTCACATTCATGGTCTTTATAGAGATCCGGTCATTAATCATTCAGACCGCCGTGATGTACGCACCGAATTATTCAGCTTCAAAGATGGAAGTTGGAATATATATATATATACAGGGTGTATCAAGAATATTTTACAAACTTTGAGGGTGGATTCCTCAAAACAAATCAAGGACAAAAGTCCATATAAAGATATGTCCGCAAATCCTCCGTGTTTTAGTTAAGTTTATAGAAAGTTTACGGTGGATGGTGCTGTGTTGCCATGTCGACTAGGTTGAGTTTGTCATTCGTGTACATATGTGGCTTGTCTGTCTTCAACGTTTAACAGATGTAGTAGTGACTTAATTGATAAGTATTTTTGACAGCGACAGGATATTCATATCGTGAGCAGGCAGCTATGTTTTTTTACATACAATCGCACGAATGACAATGGACGCGAAGCTGCAGAGCTGTATCAGATTTTTACATTGCGTTTCCAGAACGAAGAAAGCTAAGTCATCCAACCTTTGCTCCTGTATATCGTTGCAAAGCTGAGACTGGATCCGTGGCACCACCAACTACAGATCGCGGAAGACTGAGATTGGCTCATACGCCTGACCGCGAAGAACACATTCTTCAGACTGTTGTAGGCGATTCAGGTATCAGTACCGCAAGAAGGTTACTTCGAGTGCAGTTTCTATATCCTTATCATTTGCAACATGTGCAGAGGCTTTCGCCCATCTGATCATTCACCGCGTTGTTTTGCTGATGAATTATTTCACAAACTGAAGTTCCGTCGTTTGTCTCTTCCGTTTTGTTTACGGATGAGGCCATGTATAGCCGAAAGACACTCGGAATTACAGAAGTTTTAGACACTTTCTACACATTCTCTGTCCATAAAAGAAATATATATATATATATATATATATATAATATATATGTATTTTATAGATGTTTTTTATTTTACAAAATAGTGCTCAATGTAAATTTACAGAGCATTAATATTATAAATGAATTGATTTAAAATATGGTTTTTTGCTACAGTTCTAACCATGTTTCAAAAATGGAAGCTGAAAGCTT